ACAAAAGTGTTTGACAAGGTATATCAAAGACAACTGCTGAAACTGCTAGGTAAGCTAGATTTATTTTGGAAGAATATTAAAATAATCCAGAACTTATACTAGGAGCAAACTGCTTGCATGAAGATAGAAAATGAATTCAGTAAATAAACAAAAATAGAAAGCGGCATAAAAAAAGGATGTGTCTTCTCACCAGACTTATTCAACTTATTGCTTTAAGTGAAGCAATCCTCAGAGAATTAAAAGCCCTACCAGATTTCACTATTGGCAATTACAATCTTAACAACTGTGGAGAATTACCTCAGAGGTCCAAGAGGGCTAGAGTAGTGTAGCCTAAATGTGTGCGCATATTGCTAATGAGGCAGACCATCTGAGCATCAGGGCTGGAATGACGAGGTGCATAAGTCAATAAGTCAGATCGAGACTGACAGCATACACAATATGCAAATTCTCTGGCTTGGCAAGAATGTATAAAAAGGGCAAGTTTTTGTTGAGTCAGCAGAATGAATTTTTGTGTTCAGCATAGTTCACGTCAGTGCATACTAAACCAGAATTCAGGGGTCAGGTAATGAAGACAATTAGCCCATAGTCCTGTCTAGTGAATGGAATGCCCCGCCAAAGGACCCACGTCACAGTGTTAGAACTTCAGTTGGACAATTCACCTGAAGAAGAGGCAGAACTACCCTCCCCACCATTGTGAAGAAGCACCCAGTGAAAACTATCACTGCCAAGCTGACACTTTTGTGATCAGGAGATCAGTGGGGAGTGTGGAGAATTATTTCAGAGGTCTAAGAGGGCTAGAGTAGCGTAGCCTAAATGTGCAAGCGGATTGCTAGCAAGGCAGACTATCCGAGCATCAGCGCCAGAATGATAGGGTGCATGTGTCAGTGAGTCAGATCAAGGCTGAGAGTGTGTCTAATATGCAAATTTTCTGGCATGGCAAGAACATATAAAAAAGGTGAGCTTTTGTTGAATCAGCAGAATAAATTTGTGCATTCAGCATAGTTCACATCGGTGCGTACTAAACCAGAATTCATTGTGAGGGTGTTTCTACTGACTGTGCTACAGAATTCCAGTTTCCTGCTATAACAATATTGATACGTAATTAATGAAAATCTCATTGAAGGTTTCAAAAATGTTAATTAGGTACAGCCAAAATGAATGAGTTTTTGTTTTTTTTAATGGAAATGAAAAATCTTTACCTTCTCTTAAAATATTAGATGATTTAAAAAATGCTCAGTAATTATTCATTAATGAATCAATTGTATACTGAATTGGGTATTTTATTAGAAAGTTTTGGGGAAATATTTCACCCACCACCTTTTCTATGTCACATGTGTACTTTTTAATTGGAGAGGGAAGGGGTGGGGCACATGAAATTTTTTTTTCAGCTATATAAAGGAAAATGCCTAAAGATGAAAAGATTTATGCAATATCAAGTGTGAACATATAAAACATTCATCCTAAACCTCTCCAAAAATAATTCAATAAAACTCAAAAAATAAATTTCTCTGACAGTGCTTGCATAATTTAATAAAATAAAGTTATTTTCTTTCATACTGAACAGAAACAAAACTACAGCCAATATTTTTTTTTTAAAATGACTTGTAAATTTTCAGTGTGATTTTGAAATTCAGCCCATTGCTATTCATAAGAGATTTTTTTAAATAAAGAGATGTTTGAAGAATTAAAAAATGTAAAATTTAATGCTATTTTTGAGTGTAAACCTTTCTTAAAGGAATTTCCATTTTTCATTATAGCAACTGTTAGATTACTTTTTTGTATTGATGTTCAAAAGGGAAATAATTCCGAGTTATCACCTTTGATTAAACACTTTTCCCTATCAAAAGAAGAATATATCCATTATGTTTTAAACAAAAGATAAGCATTATTTTTACAATATCCACTCAATTCCTAATTTTACTGAGTTTGAAACATGTCTAGGACAATTATTGGACTTTTAAGAGATTTTTCAATTTTTTATTTACATTTTTTTTTTTTTATCTATAATGGCTGTTCAAGGTGTTAATGAGTGAGGAGTGAATATGACAATGTTTTAAAAATACCTAAAAACTTTATTTACATACAGAAATTAATTTTTCTTTTAACATTATTATATTTCAAATAAATCCAAAATTAATGTTAAAAAAAAAACATTAAAATTATTTAAAATGCATTTTTTCTAGGAAGTCTATGGGGGTGACTAATGTTAATAAACAGAGAAAAACTCTGTCAATGCAACTCAATGTTATGAGAGAGGATTTATTAAATATGCCAAAACAATGACACTTGTGATTGCATGTAATGTGAGTGAAGGCAGAGGGTAGGAACAGTAATCACAATTGGATTTTTAGTGCAATCTACATTTGAACTCGGTTTGTGGAGACAAGTTCTTCATTTATCATGACGCACTGACTTTCTCTCGACTTCACTTAACTCCACTTGTTTTCTATATTTACAAATTAAACATTTCTGGGGCATAGAGAAATTTTTCAATGTTTTTTCTTTTGCCCAAAACTGGGTTTGAGCAAGTTTCTCTACTTAATCTGTATATTGTACATTAAAAATCAAGAAGAAAGGGATTGTGAGAGTTCAGGAATTAACACAAACTATACTGACAGAATACAGCTATAAACAAATTTAAGAAACAAAAAAACGCAATAAATAATAACATATCTCATTAAATAATTTAGACGAGTTTTATCTACTTATTTTTAATAGGATCCTCTTGTGATTATGGACAAATTTCTTACTATCTTTATTAAAGAAAGAAAGAATATTACCATGATGCATATTCATTTTATTCTGAGTACTTTCAGCATTAGCACAATGTTGCCATTGTAATGACTCCTCCCTCCCAACTAACATGTTGCAGAAAACCAACATTGTATATAAATTTAATTGTCCCTTGGGAGATTGTATATCTAACAGAAAAAATAAAAAAATAATATATCATATTATGACTATGTTGTCTCAAAGTTTGAATTTTCATTTGAATGATGCATTTAACATGTCTCAACATTTACAACAGCATACCTGTCCAATTTTGCAATTTAGGAAAATTCTTGTTGAAAATACATCTATACTTTTTCGTGAAAATAATATAAACTAAAAATTATTGAAGCTATCTATATTAAAAAAAATTGAAATCAACCCTTAATAAAATTAATTATGAATACTGCACAAATGTTTTTAAATGTTTACAGTAGACAGTTTACAATACCTATGTTTAAACTAATAGTTTTAAATAGTTTTTCTTTTTTTAAAAATATTTAGACATTTCACTAACTTAGTTACCTCCCTTGACGTTTGCACATGTGTCTAAAATAAAAAAAAAAAAAATAAAAAATTTTGGTTAATTTGCAGTGTAACACCCACACTCAGTTTGCACTAAAAATTTTCAGAATATTTACATTTAAGAGTATTTGTACATGCTCCATTCGAATCTGTCTTGATAAATATGATAAAATCTACCATTTTAGAGTTATCGACAGTGAAAGTTCGGATTAATTTGTATCATTAGCAGCAGCCATTACTGTCATTCTTTGCATACATCCACTGCAGAAAGTTAAACATGGAAGACTATGGAAAGCTAAGTGCGGAACTAATCTTTCTTGTCTAAATTTGTCTCAATTACTGCATACAAGAACTATTCATGTAGATGTGCTCAGTTTGTGCAATAATACCTACACTGATAGCTATTCTGCAGTGAATGTATGCAAACAATGCCAGTAACGGCTGCCTGCAACACAAATGAATCTGAAGTTTCACTGTCGATAACTCCGAAATGGTAAATTTTATCAAATTTATCAAGCCAGATTCGAATGGAGCATGTACAATTACACATAAATGTAAGTATTCTGGAAATTTTTTTTTAATGCAAACTGGGCGCGAGTGTTACACTGCAAATTAACCAAAATTTCTTCAACAATTTCTTCTTAGAAAAATGATGAACACAACAAATTTTTGTCTTAGAAAAAACCAGACCCTGATGACAACATTGTGCTAATGTTGAAATTACTCTGAATAAAATGAATATACATCAACATGGTAACTTACTTTCTTCCTTTAATAGGTATACTAAGAAACTTGTTCATAATTACAAGAGGATCCTATTAAAAAAAATGTAGACAAAACTTGTTAAATTATTTAATGAGACATGACAATGAAAAAAGGCTACCAAAATATACACAATATATATTACAAAAAAGAAAGAAATGTTCCCACCCAGTTTTTAGAAGCAAAAGAAAATTAGTTTCATTTGAACCAGTTTGATTTTGACAGCATAGAAAACCTATTTGCATTCAGATAGAATATTAACCAATCAAATAGTTCCGTTTAGTCTTCAAAACCCTTAAGCCTGTGAGCTGATAGTTAATCCAAAAACAGAAACTAAGCTGCTAACCCAAAGCAATGAGTAGTAGAAAATTTATTTTTACCAAACGGCTTGACAGGTACTGGGGCAACTTCAAAGGAACATGGCTGACTGCCACAAATCCACCAGCTACAGATACAACCATTAATTGAAGTTTTTCTTCAGAACATATGTACATGAACCAACCTTCTCTTTTTTAACAGCATGTATTCTTTCTTTCATATACATACATTAATTCAGAATTTACTTAAAACCAATCACTAAACAAAATTTCACCAAAACCTTTTTGTAAAAGTTTGTAAATACCTATTTTTCTATGGATTTTGCTTGCTTGTTAATACATAAAAATTTACCATTGTAATTTACCATATATAAGACTTCTTTTTCTCGTTCATTCATGGAATTTTTGGAAAGTACAAACTATGTTCTAAATTCTGTTAATGGAATCAAAGTTAGAATATTTGTCATCACCCTAAATATTAATCCTGGGTCATCTACAGTTACTAGGAATTAATTTTATCTTCTGTCTCCATTTTATTTGGGACACAGCAACAACACATCTTTCCTTATTCAATGCAAGTCATTATGAGAAATATCAGCTATAGTCTCATTTATAGCTCGATTACACTCAACAACAGACATGGAAAGAGATATTACATACCTTTTCTCCACTATACTGTTTCAGATTATGCAACAAACGACAAGCATTTGCCAACCACAAAGTCATTCTCTCAACATCATTGTTTGATTTCTGAAAAGAATGAAATTTAAATCAGGACAGAATACAAAAAAAACTTGATAAAATGCTCATTGCAAAGATCATATGATTTAAACAAAAGAATGTCACAACTTCTTTACAATAATTTATCCCTACTTCGAACCCCAGTCACACTTTTAAAAAGAAGTTAATCACAATTTTTATTTCTTTCTTTACTGCCCTAAATTCTGATTAAGCAATTTTATGAAGCATAAATTGTACTCAAAACAATGTTGTTTACTTCTCAAAGTTGCTTTAATATATTTATATATTACCACTTCCTTTTATTGACATTGATACAAATTTAAATGTCTTTAAATTTACAACTTTAATTTATAAACTTGCAACTTGCACTAAGAAACTCCAACTCAAAATTAATTGGTCACAGTTTATTATAACAAGATGAAATGTTTAAAAAAAAAAAAAAAAACAGAATTGGAACCACTCCTTAGCATGACATCTAGTGCCTCTGAAACAGCAAAATTTCTGCCTAGGCTATGTTTTTCATCTGTCAAAACATGCAATTATTTAAAAATTATTACTAACAATTTAAAAGAGTTAACAGGTAAATAACATTTTCCTCTCTTACCTTGACCACTCGTTTGATTCCATTGACAACTCCTGTGAGGAGTGAACACACCTTCTCATCATCATTAATGTGGTCTGTATGACGAATACACATGAAAATAATATAAGCTGGGAGGCCAGGCAACATAGATTCAGCCACATAGGGTTGGAGATCTGCAGAGAAAGGGAAAAGAAAAAGAAGTTAAAAAAAAAACAAAGAAAACTTTTAAGGAAGTCTAGAAGGCACTGAGAAAACAAAAGTGTCTCCCATAAGTAGGGTTACCTACCAATGATAAACAAATTTGCTAATGGAATGACTTTGATACTCATTGGGTATACATACTAAGCTTAGCACACTTACAGACACAGATTTAAAAACACAAAAAAGCATTCTTCTTTCTTGAAGGATCCCTTTTGATCAACACATTATCAGACTATGTTGATAAATATTAATTGACCAAAAAAAACACAAAAGTTCATACTGCAAGAAAATATTAGGAGAAAAAAGAACCACAATTAAAATACAAATTTATTAATAAAACAAGTGGGGAAAGAGACAAAGTGGGAGTATAAGAGCAAAAAGGCTAATGTAAATGGTTCCAAGTGAATATAAAATGGAAATATTTTACTCTCAAACCTCCTAATAGACAGAGAGTATAAACAAATTGCTCTTTCTGCTTGCACAGATATGGCTGATGTAACTTCATGTAAACTACTTCTAATAAATTCAAATGTTCAGCAAATTGAGCTTTACATAAAAGGTGAACAAATCATTTCTATATCCTGCTGCACAATCTGCATTATCCAATAAGTGTTACCCAATAAGCAAGTCATGAATGAACTGGGTATTACACATACTACAATTAGAAGTACCATGTCTTTTTTATATATATACCCAAGCATAGGATTGGTGTATATGGAATAAATTCCAATAACCAACAAATACTATTCTTAAAAGAGTGCTCAATACAGAGTAGACCAAATATAATCATTTATTTGAAAATTATAACATAAAAATGTTATAAAATCACTACAAAAATAGCCATTTTGTTTCAACACTTCTGGTTTCTTCTCAAGTGATGGTGTTGAATATAGAAATATATATATATATACGTGTGTGTGTGATAAAATAAAGAACAAAGAAGAAACATATCAATCTAACATGTTTCACTTTTATTAGTTATTTTCTTTATTTTATCATCTTGGAGTATTCTGATCCACATTTGATCTTTAACTCTCTCTCATATATATATATATATATATATATATATATATATATATATATATATAGCACACAAGCTGAAAATTTTTCAGTGACTCTATACATGGGAAATAATATAGTTTTAACTTATGCTATATTTGTGGGCAAAAGTATTCAATATCAGGGATAGTGTGTGTGTGTATATAAGAGTGGACACTGAGATCAACACCGAGTGGCGACAGTCTGTTTCATGTAATCTTTGAACATTGTGTTCAAACATGAAAGACACTCATCACTCAGTGTTGACCTCAATGTCCACTCTTTCTCTGTCTATATATATATATATATATATATATATATATTATAGTTTAGAGCTGAGGAGGACTGACATATGGCTGTGCTAGTCTGAAATAAACTATACCAACATGAGGTAATTTGGGATTTTTTGCTGTGTATATATATTTTTTTACTCTTAAAACCTTTACAGACATGTTTATTGATAGTGGGAACCCCACAAGCTTATCTGTTTCAAATTTAACAATTACTGTTCCTCGTATCCATCCAATCTCACTCACCATGTATGAGGTTCTTAATGAGTGCACTCTCATCCACTTTGTTGTATTCAAGCATACCAAGATACTCTCTCTCTTGGTGCTTTACAGCAGCCATCACTCCTGAGCTTTCTTGTTCGTCACGATCCAGTTCTGCGGCAATTTCAGCAGCTAAAGGAAAAAAAACAAACAAAAAAAACAAAACAGAAAAGAACAAATTAACATATGTCTATTTTTTTTTTCATTATCATAATTCTATAAAACATTAGCAAAAAACAATTTCAATAATTCAACACCTAAGAAATAGTTTCAAGTTATGAGTCTTGTGTTTTGAGCTTCAAGAGGAAACCAAAAATGAAGTAATAGCCTATGTTATACCAGGAAGAATATTTAAAATCTGTAATTATTGATTGAAGAACCAAACCTCTACGGTATGAACAGATTGATATACATAGATATGAGGGGATGCTGAAAAGTTATCAGCCCAAGATATTTATGAAACTCTGACCAAATGACTTATTTTGTTTGTTTTTTTAAAAAAGGGTTTCTTGGTTAGATGGGGAACCTTTTAGCATCCAGTCATCTTAATATTACCACATTAGCCAACCTATAAAAAGCATTCCTCTTTTACAATGATTTGGAAGTAGGGTGGGTTAGAAGATATAATTTCAGAACATAACCTTACATTGAAAATCCTTTTGAAGCAGCTTTATAGATTTTCTACAGGTGTCCATATTAAATTTAAGATGCCACATTCAGAATCAACTCTTGGATTTTCAGGACACCATGCCATTCCTATGTTGCTAATTATCAGGCCAACTATACATTTAGCAAATATTAGAATTTTAACATTAATACTGATTATGATAAAAAGATGCTCTCCTGTTTTTAACGAAGATGTTTTGGAAGGGAAGAAAATTATCACATTTATGGAAACATTTTCTAATTAATGACTTTTCAGAAAATAATTGCCTTTTTATGACTTCAGTTTTTAGTACTGAAATGTTGCATACAAAAGCAGTATAATCACTTGGAGGTGGTGGGAGAGTTTAAATAAATTACAAAATGAATGTCAGAATTTCAGTTATAAGTTTTGGTGTGTACTAAACTGAATTATTTGTAGATCAGTAAGAAGAAAATCTTCAGTTTCCTTGATTGAAAACATTTTATTTATTTATTTATCATTTTGTCGTTTTTCAAGAACTAAAGCAAACAAATTACCAGTAGAAATGTCATTAACTTCATATCAGGAAGTACATGACATAAAATTGACTTTACGTACTGATATACAAGTAATAATAATAACAACTAGTTTTAACTCATGAAAAGTTATTAAGTTAATGACTGAGTAAGCTCATGGAGAGTTCTATGACAATGAAATATCTGTAGAAATTCCTCTATCACATTATTAAATATTTCACCTTAACAACTTTAACAAAATATTGCAATAACAATCATAAATATGAATGCAGGCCATTATTTTAAAAAGTGGGTACACTTGAAAAGATTTGAAAATGACAACTTTTCCATTTCACCAAATAATGTCTTTTCCTCTCTTTCCAAATTATTTATGAGGTATTGGCAGGTTGTAATGCCCATGCAAAGTAATGAAAAGAGGGACAATCAAAATTATAGGTTTCTGAAAAATGTACTTTTAAAATTCAAATTTTTTAAAATATTTTACCAAGTATTACTTAAGTAAAAAGAAAATAATTATACCTGTCCCATAATATTTGTTACAGTTAATGTATCTACTGTGTATGCAAAATATATATATATATACACACACACACACACACAGTATACATCGGGTGTGGTGTAATGGTCTTGCTGGAATAATTATGACTGAGTAGTGAGTTTGATCCTCACTGGGTGTTCCATAATTTTAGCCTTGTGCCACATCTAAGCTGCGCTTAGAAAAATCACTATATATTGTATACAAGAGGTTAACTTATATAGATAACATACAAATATAATTTGAGTTAATTTAAAACTGGTCAAATTAAGAAGTAAATTCAAGCTAGAAAGGGTTAAGCAGACTGCACATGTTTGATACACACATTTATCTTTATTAATATATTTTAGGAAAGGGAATAAAATTTAAGGAAAAAAAGATTGTACAAGACAAATTTCATTAATATTTTTGGTGAAGGCAGTATATTTAAAGAAATTACAAATTCTAATTTTAACAATAGTAAATGGTTGGACACGGTTTGACAGCTCTATGATGTTGGAAGTAACTTTTTTGTTCTTCCTTTCTTTTTTATATCAATAAAGAAAAACAGTGTGGCCACAGAGCTGAAAATAACTTTAAAAACGTCTTGAAATCATAACAGACACCCTGGATGCTTAACAGTTTCATAAGTTGCAAGTGATGAGCACTGAGATAGATGAGAACATAATTCAGGTAAGGAACATACTAAGATAGAAAGCTAAATATGAAAGCATTGTAGATTTTAGAAGTACATTAATTTATCAATCAGTAGACAGGTGGAAAGATTGCATTGTGCTCATCTTTTAAGTGAAGAGGCCTTGTCCTAATTCAAAATCTTAGCTCAATCCTGGCTCAAAAATCAAACAACTGCCTCACAGCCAGTAAGTAAATCAGAGAAAAACCTGTACTAGATTAAATCTGTCCAGTCATATTTCATCCAGCTCACTATTTGGAATTTGCTATTATACTGAAATAATAGCTATATAAATATTATATACATAATAAAAAACAACATTTGTCTATTGAAAATAAATAAGCATAAAGAAAGATTACAGTATGCAAAATTATAGAGATAAAAAATTAAAAAGTCTCCAAGATGAAGGATATTCCTGTTTTAAAATCTTGTGTTCAACAATTTCAGCATTTGGCACACTGTATTTATTGAAGGAGCCATTTTTGAAGACAAATGAAAATAAATTTGTGTCTGTCTTAATTGACTACTTTTACAATCAATTTTGATCAGTGAAAACAGATTCTGAAATATAGTCAGAGTTTTTTAACAAAGGAAAAATAAAATTCATCATTCTCATTGAGTCTTCATCTTTAACACAAATGCTAAAAGAACTGGGTTAGACTTTACACTTATTCATAATAGGAAATATTATAGAAAATGGTTTTAAAAAAGTTAAAAAAAAGAAAATAAGCATTATCTTTGAGTTTGTCTTTGTGCACAAGTTTTAAAAAAGAAAAAGTGCCAATATGCCCGACTTCTCAAAAACGTTTTTCAACCCCTAGTCAAGCACAAGACCTAATCTTTTGCTAAGCTTAGCACACAAAATTTTGTTTTTTATCAAATGCCAAAAATTGACTATCACTATTTTTAGTTCAAAAATTGAACTAAAAATAGTGATTAAAAGTTAAATCATGATTGCATCTATCAAGGCTAACAATAATAATAGATTTGTACAACTATTGCAGAAGCAGGTAAATATGAGAGTACTCTATTCAAAATTTAAATCTGAATCCTGCATGTAACTGACAAGATATCTGGTAACAAATTGCAGAGAAAGGTGGATTCATATCCTTCTTAAGAACATCAGTATGAAATGAACATAAACAAACCAAAATGAAATTAAAGCACATTTTAGAGATTCCATTTTCCCATGCCAACCTTTCCTATGAAATTTTTTAAATATTAAATGTTTTAAATTACTACACTATCCATTTTTATTAGGCATTTCAGTTTTCACTATAAAATTGATATTAACCAACCAATGTTGGTAAAATGTTCATGATATATTTATAATTAGATGAGTAATACATTATGTGAGTTTCAACTTATGATATCCATCCTTATTAAAAATAATGTCTTGGCTTTATTTTTTAGCTAGAAAACAAAATGCAACATAAATTTCTGATTATAAGTAAATATTAAAGAAATATTTCATCAACAAAATATTATTAAATTATTATTATTTGATTATTTTTTATGTTAATATGAAGCTCCTTGACATTCTATGACCTTCATTAGTCTTTCAATCTTTGATTTTGTTAACTTTTCTAATTTGACTTTAGAATTATTTGTATCAGTTTTTATAGCTTTTCAGAGCTCTTTGCTTAAATATTGTTTTTCATTCTTATATACATCTCTGAATGTTGAATCACAAATTTTCTATTGGATTAAAATCTGGAGAGTCAGAGCCCAGCTATTAATAGGTTGTCTTTGAAATAATTTTTGACAAGGTGGACAATAGTCAGCTTTGCATGAATATACTGTTTAGATTAAAGTTTCTTTGTTGTGATAAATACCATTCAAATGATCTGTCCAAGAACTTCCAATAAATTTAGGCATTTATCTTGACACCAACTCTGACGGGACCAATAATTCTACTGCCTACATTATTAGTCCCAATCACTACTCCTTCTCTCCTACTGTCTTTTCAGTCATGCTGGTTGACTACTTCCATAAAAGATCTATTCTCTAACCCAGCCATCAAAAAAAAAAAAAAAGAAAAAAGAATTATTGTTGAGATATCAGTTTTCATGTACTCCTTCATCCAACTCACCCATTTTTCTTTGTGACATTTACTTATAAAAAGGTAGTAATTTGGTTGTTTCTATGTTTTCTTAAGATTCTGCATCTTTTCTGTGTATATTTGCAACACTAGTTTGTTCAAATATTTTTTTTTCTTACTGGTCAATTAATATTCCTTAACCTTTTAATTTTTGTAAAAATCTTTGTCACATTTTTAAAGGCAGATTTTTTTTCTTGTTTATATCTTGCCAATGATTTAAGTTCCTTTTTTCTTTTTATTGTTTAAGGATTTCTCTTTCCATTACTCAATAACTTGATTCTCTTTAGCTTAAAACCCATGGCAATCTTTCAAATTAAAAAAATAAATATCATTAACTATAGTACACATTCATTTACCATATGATGAAAATTGCTTCTGTTGCATAGTAAAATTTCGCATCACTAAATATGTTATTTTAAAGAGTCTTCATAAAATCTCAATATATTAGCTATATAAGTCAATCCTAAAAATTTTACTAATTTTATTGTAAAAAGATTGACTTGCATCATAAGACAGCAGACAACTTAAATATTTTTGTTAGTTTAAAACATCCCCCCTGAAAATATAAACAACAGGAAAATTCAGGAATTCTCAAACCCAATCCTACACTAGCTACAGAGTCATCTGTTGTGAAAGCATGTTTGGAATCAAATTTTAAGAAA